ATTCTGAAGCTTACCACAACAGCTTAGCAGCTTAGCAGTTTCTTGTTATTCATCAACTAAAATCTAAGAAATCAGAAGATATCTTTTGAGGGGGAAGGTGCTTTCCATATTTAAGAATGAGATATGCATTATCCCTTTTCAACTCTCAAAGCTAGTGGAAAAAACTGATTATTGACTAATTGGTCTCAAACCATCAAAAACAAAATATTTTTACCAAGTTAATAATAGCCATGACCAACCCCAACAAAAGTATTACCTTTATGATTAGGTATCACATAATATTGTGACCCTGTGAATCATATTAGTCAAATTTACTCAGCCTAAATAAACAACTAGATATATCATAAAAAATAGGTGGGTCTTCTCAAACAGACAGCGCTACGGCATCGCAAAGGGGATATAACTCTAATCATCTCTTCATCAAAAGCAGAAGAAAAATTGCCGCTCGCTCGCAAATAAACACAGACAACTTCTCAAACTGATAAATGTGTGTCAATAAAGCCAAGTCAAAAGTTTATGGGTTGATTCAATAATTTTGCGGTCTTCTCTAAATCGAAAGCAATCTAGTCCATCAACAGAAGATGTTTGAAGAAGCCTCAATTTTTTAAGGTCCAGGTAAATATCAGAATTATTGAGAAAGCAAGGGAAAAACAAGTATTCTCTTTATGGATAGGAATGTAGAATATTTCTAAAAACATGTAAATACTGGAATGTCAATGACACTAAAAATATTTTTTAGAATTAGTAAGAAGTCTTGATTTATCAAGGATTTTTCTGGAGAAGATTGTTCTCATCCAAACAAAAACAAAATTCAAACTTCCGCTCCCCCGATTAAATTCTTCAACAATTTTACAAACACTATTTCCGGTGGAAAAAGGCCTGGATTAATCTCTATCTCTATATCTCTCTCTCTCTCTCTCTCTCTCTCTCTCTCTGCAATACGTAATTGAACTGATCAAATTGTAAAGCATACGTATGTCTACATTAGTAAAGAAAGTGTGCAGTATATAGTATCATAACTGTCATAATAGTTATCATCATCACAGCCATCACAGTACTGTGATTTCTACAACCATTATTACTTATTTTTTTTAAGTATTATACTTTTGAATCCATCACCTCTCACATAAATAAGAAACACTTCTTAAAATTTTGAGAAGGTTCTTGTCTTTGCAACATCAAAACCCAACTGCATTTATGAATTACTCACAGTTTCGCTGGGCAGCAACCAGAAACAACGTTCAGGATTCGACACCATCTTAATCTCAGATTGAAGACCTTCCCACGATCGTATGCAATAAAAAGTACAACTGGTCACTGGGGCTGGTATAAAACAGATGTATGACCTACACGCCCACTACTAATGACTCCACACAAAAGACAATATTAAATGTGTGAATCGCAGCACCGTCAGATATTACGCCCTTATCCCAGCACTACTCCTCCGCGGGGAATCGCTAAAACAATTAGCTCTTTTGGTGAGGCAACTCGTTAACAAATGCTGCTAATTGATTTTTTGTTTCGTGTCTGACTGGTTAGATATTATTCTTCTTTTTTATCATTGCATTTCCACCCCACCTCTCTGTCTCTCTCTCTCTCTCTCTCTCTCTCCCTCTCTCCCGCAAATGATTGAGGGCGAGCTGAGATAGGCACCATCAGGTTCAAATTTTTAATTGCACAAACTTTTTTTATGCAACAGCTGTGACTAGATTGAATATTGTGATATAAAAATCGTGAGGTAATTTTGAGATAAGACAAGACGTCTACAATGTTCCATGAAATAAGAATCACAGTTTGCAGCATAATAAGAACATGTATCACAATCATGATCACTAAAGATCTTCTTAGAAAATCATCTTCAAAGACTTAAAGGTACTATGTCCCATTTGCAGGCCAAAAAATGAAAAAGTTAAATTCCAACAGCATTTGAAAGATCATACTAATTTAGAACTTCCCTCAAAATAAAAGGGCTTGAAAATGTCTTTTTGTGGGAAAATAACAACCATAAGTTGTCAATCAAATTTAGCAATCGCAGTCGTTTAATTAAATAGTCTGATTTTCAGACCCTTGTACCGAATGGTCCTGCGTTTTGTGCTGCGCAGAGCGTCAATCAGTTTAATTTTGGCCATTACAAGAAGTGGGTTATTGATGTAGGCAAATGCACCCTTGTCAGCTCATTTTCTGTATGTTATTACCAAAGAAAAAAAAAGAATTCAGTCAGTCTATCAATAGTGTCTGACAGAAGGTCTAGAAATTCAAAGGGTTTCCTTGCATAATTTGAATATTAGGACACTGCTAACGTTTAAATTTCACAGATAGGACATACATGACATATTCATAATTCATGCAAAGAACTAGAGTTTGATGTTGGCTGCAAAAGGGATACACTACCTTTAAATAAAAGGACATTAACTGCTGAGTCTATGTAAAAGGGATATGAGTTAACACCATTCTGTCTTTAATAGCAGACAAAACAATGATTTCAATTATGCCTCTACTTTTGGGTATGATGAAAATAAATAAATAAACAAGTAAACTATGCATACATTTTGTAAATTTTGATAGAAACAAAAAGAATAGTACCCTACTGTAAAAGCATACAAATTGGAAAATCTTTAGTGAAAATAATATCTTGGAATGTATGTATCAGATATAACTGTACCATCTAATCTCTGATCATTGTCATACGTGTCTGGAACATCTGATTATTGACCGTTGCCCAATCATCAAAGGACAGTGCAGGGTCAATAACAATCAGATGCGTGCATTAATGTGACTTGCTACCGCTATTAAACTGGATCAGTAACAATCGCTTGCTGCTGCCCGGCCGCGGCTTGCTCGCTCGCTGCCTGAGAAGCGATGGATGTTGCAATTACACAATAGGAGACGATCCATCGATTCGGGCCTAGCTCCAATGCCGCTGAAAACGCCATCTGTGGCAGGGGCTTTAAGTGGCGGTGGCTGTGAGAGGCAACGGCCTGTTTAACTGCCGGAGGAAATCAATAGCACAGTCACGGAGCAACCAGTGAGGGAACCGGTCTTGCCGCCTTTAAGTGATGGGGACCGGTCGGCTTGGGGTGTCAATGAGCTGTGGGCCGATCGAGTTGGGATCAATGGCATTCTATTTTTTTCAATATGGGCATTTCCATGTTAAGTGGGTACTTCTGTGATGTAAATATGGTCAAAATTGTTTTCACCCCTAGAGCAATCAAATTTCTCCCTTTGCTTGTCCAATATCTATATTCTATATATTTATGAGGGAAAAGATAAGTGTGATTTCATGTTAACTTTGCAGAGGTCGTAAAGTAGGACATGTATTGGGGGGAACGTATGTAACATTGGACAGAAATTTGTAACTTAAATTACCTCTGATTTATTATTTGCTCAATATATAAATGCAATGTTCATTCATGTGAGTTAAGTATCAATAAAACATCAATTTAACAATCATCTCAGAATTTGCTTCTTTTTTAAAAAATTTTTATAGCTTTTTTTGTGAATCAGAAAAACAAATATTTAAGGAATGTTTGCAATGTATCATGTATTATTGAATGAATAAATCTTTCACACATGTTTTAATGGTGCGTACTCTATTAATTTGGTGTCACTGTGTACTGGATGTTGATGCTATGTTCATATATTCCAGGATAAAATAAAATCTAGAAGTTATAATTGTTGATGCATGTTGGAACCAATTAATAAGAATAGGGAACGTATGTAACGGTTGGACAGAACAGGCATCTAAACGTTTGTTTGAATTCTGTTTTGGGACACATATTTCATAATCAATATATTCATAAGCGTTGCATAGGTTAAAATGTTTCATTGTATTGATCATTTTAAATTGTGGAGAATAAGTGAAATGTGAATGGTCTTTAATTATTAAGTATAATGAAATCAATGAATTTGCCAACTGATATACGGTTTGTAAATCTGTAAAATAGATTAATTGATAGTTTTGAAATCTTATCTCACCTCTCATTAATCTTTTGACCAACTGCAAAAGCAAGCAACAAACTTCAGTGTACAACTTAAATTGTCCATGGATGAACCATTTATATAAATTTATACAATTATGAACACCTGAATTGCAAATTCAAATTTAAAAATGATAAGATAGTAACTATAGTCACATGGAAAGAAGTTGGCACAATATAGAATAAAAGGCAAACACTAATCATTTCATTGAAATTGAAATTTCACAAAACCTTATATACAAATTTAAAAGTAGTCTAGGTCTTTAATAGTCAGTAGCCAAAATGTGTCTCGGACACAGAGCCCAATAATAACAGACTGTTAAACAATTGAGCATGCATTTCACTACATGTAAGCATTAGCTTGTAATCAATTCCCATCAAGACTGGGAAAGTAGTTGACACAATATAGAATAAAAGGCAAACACTATATTGTCGTTGGCGTGCAGCTTCCTTGGCACAAAAAGCTGCATATGCAGAGGGATCTTCCTTTAATTTTGCTCGTTTCTTCCTCATCCTCTCTGCAGCGTTAGATTTTGATGTATCAGCTGTTGGTGATGGGGGTCGAGTTGGCGAACGAAGCTTTACAGTTAATGTCATGTTTGCTTGCACAAGTATTGGTACACTGTGATATGAAGTCTTCTACCTTTCTCTGGCAGCTGAAATGAAGAACAATACATGTGGATTGGCAGATTAAATATCTATTGCAAATAAAAGTGTCTCATTTCAAAAAGGTGATGTTTCAACCCTTAAAATTGCTACTTGTGAAACATTATTTACTCCAATTTCCCCAAGAAATATTGACTTGATACTGTTACAATTAATTATTATTCCAAATGATTTTTTTCTGTAGACTTCACTCAGCTGGAGAAAAATGAAATCATATATTCTGGGGCTGATTAATGTTTCAAAGTGAATTAATTCATGTAATTATTCTAATTGAGATAAAACTTAATTGTGTACAACAAAACACTCTTGTATGCTGTAAATTATTTAACAGTAATATCCTTCTTCAACCATAACAACAATGCGACCTTTTGAAGAAAACACAATTTATTGAAGATAACCAACATTAAGTAATCAAGCAAGCTGTTGGTAAGTATAAATTTGTTTTTTTTTGTTCTTGATTTAGGCAACTGCAGTTGCTTTTTTTGCGTGAGCTAAATTGGGTTGCGGTTGCACCTATTGAAAATGCGAGATCGGCGAGAGTTACCAGTGTTGCATACATGAAAAGCTACATATGGGACTGTGATGTAATAATATCACTACACGTTAAAATTTAGCACTAGCAGACCACTAGCTAGACAAGAAGAGGAAAATATAATCGTACACCACTAAAGTTACACATGACTCATTTTCGGAAACATGATCTTTTACTGTATTTCAAAAAGATTTTGAATAACAAATACGTACCATTCCACGATTTTCAAAGCCTAGATCTAATCTAATGTTGAGTTGATACTCCAATGATTACGATCGGATGTCGTCTGCTGCTCACGAAACCCCGCAAAAAAACGTACGTAAATAAGACCGAATAGCATTTCTGTCCATCGTGCGTACGTGTCGTTCTAACTACCAGCAACCGTGAACGTACGCACAAACTGGACAGAAGTTATATAGAGCTACACGGCCCCGCGATTGTAGAAGTCAGCGCATGGATTGCAAGTACAATCAAACGTTGCAGTGCCTTGGTTCACTTGACTGATACGTGGATTATCCATGCGTCATATTCGCGGACGCCACGGTCCGTTTTTTTAGTTGTTACGTACGTTCGTGAGTTGGACCGAATATTGCACTCCAAATTTTGAATAGATTTTATCTCTATTTGCGTTTATTTTGACGATTTTTTTCTTGGTCTACATTTCAACCTTCATCAAAAGAGTTGCAAAGCACATAAAACTGTTGGGTGACACAACTAATAATTGTGGGAAAATTCACTCTGAACGTACGTAACACAGGTGGACAGAATCTCTCATTCAGCCAATGTAATTTTCAACTCTCTCACTCTCTCTCTTTAAAGCTCAATCGCCGTAACTATGATCAATGCCGTAATCCACCCGCATCAAAATCTCTTTTCAAAACATGAAACATCAATTTCTTTTTAGAATTTTTATTTGCATTACCCTCAAAATCACACCACTCAACATTTACTGATTGTACTTTGGAATTTTTAATAATAATCATTAAAGAAAAGAGGACAACACAACCAAATGACATTATTAGTGCATGGAATTGTCTTTTTTATTTCTTTATACCATCAACAATGAAAATAAAAACACAGAAAGCCACAGGATATTTATTTAATTTTTCTGTAAGCGCTTTATTCTTTCACACACAGAAGTACCCTATTACCGTGGAAATGCCCATATCACAGTCGGACTGGTAGGGTGATAGGACTGACTGAACGAACGAACAGCAGTTAGAGTGATAGAAGGTGTGAGAGTGGTGGTATATGAGTGATGGAACTCTACTGGTGATGTAATAGTATATATATAGAGAGAGAGAGAGAGGGGGGGGGGGGGAGAGAGGGAGAGATGCGAAGAGCCAAAGGTTGAAACTCTGCCTGTCGTTGCATAGGATCAGGTGATAGATTGGACAAAGGAGAGAAGAGAGGAAGAGTAAGAGTGGAAGAGGATAGTGATTGTGGTGGTATTTCTAACTTACTCTACTCTTAACACTATTTGTCTGGAGAAAAAAATATGAAAATGAATAAATAAATAAATGATGCTCTTGGATGATGACTGCTTAAAGAGCCTATAAAAGTACAAAACAACAATAGATCTTCCAAGAACTAAATAAAACTAAATATCCTACATTTTAATATTTAATCCACAATATCATAATAATTCCAATTTTATCCTTCACTTCCTGTCTCCCTTTGCCTATCTCTCAAAAGACATTAAAGATTGTTGAGCCTCTTTACACTTGAGTAATTCAATATACTAGGGTTCTCTGTCCTTTTTTGACACAGATAAGACCAAAGAATGAAAATTAGCACAGAGCATGAAATATGTATTCATGGCTTACCGAGCCCTGGCGGGATCAATATGAATCTACTAAAGCGCAATAATGGTATTTTATGAGACAGCCATACAGTACGTCGACCACTTGCACTACTTTCATTCTCTAATCCTCTCTCTCTCTCTCTCTCTCTCTCCCTCCAGATCGGTTTCTTCTCTACCGTTATTCTCTCATTCTCTCTATTTTCTACTCTCTTCCTTCTGTTTCCTTCCTCTCTCTCCCCCTCTCTCTCTCTATTGATAATATTATTCCCCTCATGATTTTCCCATGACTAATTACTCTATCATTTTTTTAAATAGTTTCCCCCTTCACCCTCTAATTTAGATAAATTATGTAGACCTATTTAGGGGAGCCTTCCAAAGTTGCGACTGTGTCGCGACGCGTCGGGGCGCAGAGCAGGATATGAGAACAAAGGAGGCGCCTTTATGCGCCCATTAGCGCCTTTTTGCGTCGGATAGGAGAGGACTTCAGTTGGTTGCCAGCTCATTAAAATCTGGCTATTGTTTGGAGTCTCATTGTTACGAAATTACCCCGCCGGGGCGCGCCCCGGTGAAGCACTTGACATTTGTGAATGGGAGCTTAAACTTTGAATAGCTTTCGCGCCCTTTCGCGCCCGGTCCGGCGCATTAGTTATTCATGTAGTGCCCGCTTGTGTGTCGCTCTCGTCTTGCGAGATTTGACTCTGAAAAGCATTACTTTGGCTACTGATTTGTTTTAATATTATTTTACGTACATGACATTGGTTACAATGTTTGTTCTGATTGTTTATTTTCCTCTCGAAATCGGAGTTCTGTAGGCGTTAACGTTGGCATGATTGTTCATTTTTTCATCTCCTCCTGTTCTGTTCATGATTGTGTTCAATATACTGTATCAATTTTAATACAAATTGATTTGTTCACGAAAAAAACAAATTTATTTTTATACTTACCCCACTCTCTCTGACATTGTTTTCCTGGTGCATGTTTTGACACTTTAATTGTAATTTTATATTTCATTATAGCGATGTTATCGCATGTTTCGATTTTCTTGTTTTTTTTTAAACAATTTTTGTTGCATCTTGTAAACAGTTCTGTCGTATGATCATTATAAATCATATAATTATATCATCAGTCTGTTATTTCAATACATAGATCCTTTGAATCTTCTTAAAATTAGAGAACGTATTTTAAAATCCGTGATGTTGAAAATGATACTTAATCAAGAATGTCATAGTTTCTCCTTGAATTGGATTTAAAAAGCGTTTTATCTGTATTACGATTTTTTCAATGCAAATGATATCCGTATTGTCGGGAACATCATCAATATGTTTCGTTAAAAGGAAGACGCTCATTTTCAGAATGTTCTTTCTTTGCAGAACACTAATGTTACGAAGAAAATTAAATACACTGTACCCGTATCATCGGGGATATCGCAAAACTCCCAGGGAGATTATCAATTGCAAATCAACATAGTAAATTATGCCTAAATCGTAAGAATAGAGCATGCATTAAAAAAAAAGAGAGTTACCAGGAAATGATGTTTGAAATTTCACCCCAAACATATCTCAAGAAGAAATTAGTTTATCATTCTGTGTCAAAGAATTTTATCGAATATTTCTTTGCGACGAAGGGGGGGGGGGTTACATCCGCGGCCAGTTTTAGATCTAGGTCATTGTTAAGAATAACTAAAATACGTATATATAGTGCTGAATAGGGGCCACGTGTTATCGAAAGAGCGTAGTGCGTTCTAGAACATATACAAGCCATGGCAATTCGTTGAATTGCTTCTTTTAACAGAACTGTCTCACTGTCTAAATAAGGATCCATCCGGGGGATCCATCATGCACGTGTTGGTATCAAGTAGTAAACGGAATTAATAATGATTGCGTTGTTTTGGGACATTTTTTTTTCGGGGGGGGGGGGGGGGGCAGGGTAGCCCTTATTCTTCTTCTACTGGGTCATCAAGAAACACAAATAGTGTTGAAATTTTCCGCAATCCCTTTAGCGCCGAGGGTAGAAAAGCCTTTAGAAAAGTCAGCTGGACAATAGCAATTTAATGTTGGTCAAACAATCAGCGAGAAATACTGGGCAAACAGATATTAGCCCACGTCTTCAATATAACCAGGGAATCCCGATATAACTAAGCACATGCTCACAATATGAATATCAAATCTGGCTATTGTTTGGAGACTCATTGTTACTGTCTGGTAAAGGGGTACTTTTCACGCACCAAAGTCCGGCTCGTCTAGTACACACAAATCCGGCCCGTATTGACTTTACACACCGGACTTAGGGGACTGTTTTCAAAAGGAGGGAAAATGCATATGCGTACCCTACATAACACTCATTCGGGGTGGGGGGGGGGGGGGGAGGGGTGCGCTTAAAGGCGAAGTGCTTTTTGTGAATTGTGAATTTGTGAATTTGAAAAGCTTTCGCGCCCGTTCCTACGCATTAGTTATTCATGTAATCCCCGCGTGTGTGTCCGCTCTCGTCTTGAAAGATTTGACTCTAAAATTTTCACTTTGGCTACTGATATGTTTTATTATTATTTTACGTACAAGACATTGATTTAGATTGTTGTTCTGATTGTTATTTTCCTCCCAAATATCGAAGTTGTGTAGGCGTTGACGTTGTTATGATTGTTCATTTCTGTTCATTAATGTGTTCACTACTTGTATTATATTAATTTCTTCACGAACAAAACAAAAACGATATGTATAATTGTATTCCTTCTGTATGTTTTGACACATTATTTGTTTCATATTACATTTATTTTGTTCTGTCATCCGATCAAAATAGGTCATATATCTATATCATCACTCTGTTCTTTCTCATGCAAGATCGATTTAAAGAATAGAAACGTAGGTTCTCTAAATCTTCGCAAAATCAGCTATTGTATTTAAATACCCGTGATTTAAAAATGATACTTATAATCAAAGAGATTGAAAGATTCTGCTTGAAATAAGATTATAGGGCGTTTATAAATATGTCATACAAAACAAACAAACATCTGCAAATTAAAGATATTACACAAATGATAGTCGTATTGTCGGGAGCCTGCATCATCAAAACGTTTCGGTAGATTGAACAATTCGAAATCGCCTATCTGTTCCAAACATGAAATTCGATCGAATATTTCTTCGCGAAGAAACTTTATTGGTGGTGTCATTTGTCTTAACAATTTGTTATCTTCAATGTTCGTGACGTTTTGACGTTTCATATTTGTTAGCTAGCGCTAGTAAAGTCTTTTGTTTTAACGTGCACTGTATATAGTTATAAGGCCTGAACACGTCATGTTCACATTGGGTGTTATATAGCATACGGATATTATAGTACATGTAACTTTTAAAAGCACTTTGTTTTTGCAACGCAATGACAAAAGACAGCTCTTTGAGCAGCTAATAGTTGTTGCGCCCATTGTTCCGCTCATAGGCGGCTATTCCCAATTACCGGGCATTATTTGTTATTGTATCATTAGTTAAGTTTATTAATCTATTCATGTTTTCTTTTTATTTATTTAGTTTTGGGGAGGGGGGATGTCGTATTACGAATTCATGACCCTTATACATAATGACCTAGTTCTCAAATTACGAATAGCGGTCTTCATGAATAGTTGTCCAATGAATTAGCGGTCCTTATAACTAGCGAGCGGAGCCCTCCTGATTGACCTCTGCCATTTTGGTCCGGCCGTTCACTTCGCCGCCCCCCTCTCTCACACACACACATATGTGTAGCTAAACAAGAATCTATAGCAAGTCGGACAATTATAGCGATCAAACAATAGTCGCGTGAAATCCTGCCACGGCATTCTATGTTTTTACCTTTAGAGCGAACTTTTCTTTTGTATTCGCTCCATAGAACTCTACTTTATCTTACAGCGAGGTGAAATGAAAAGAGCGTCATCATGAGTAGATCTATTGTTTGATGTTATCCTTCTTCTCCCTAGTTAAGCCAAACCTTCAATTTAGGCCTATCCATAAAAGGTAGCTTCCTGTACCGTTCGCTTTTTTTTTTCCTGACTGCTATATGAAGCATGTGTATGCTCTGAATTAGGCAAACAGGGGACCGGCGGGTTTAAGATCCTCTCCGAACGAAATGTAATGTTGAGTTATGCC